TTACAGGTATGGCAGCACAGTGTAGAACTAATCAGGTGGTCTATCGCCTGTGCAGTGGACTACTTAAATTAGACAATAACTAAAGTTGTACGTGTGGCTTGTTGTACACTCTTCATGTAATTACAAATAGTAGAGACTATCAATATATATCCTGTATGCAATTCTAATAAAATTTCTTCAGCAATGTAAGTTACCTTAATAATAAAAAAAAAAAATTTGATATTTAGACTTTTTACTCTAAATTCATAATTGACTATTAGTATTTAGATGTAATTTGTCTAGTTTGTGAATAGTTGTAAACTTATACTTCTACAAGATCAGAATCTATTTGACTAGTTTGTTTTGAGATAACTAGTTAGAGAATAATAATTTTAATACTGAATAATTAGTGAAAAGGGTAAAATAGGTCTTTTGTAAATAAATCTAAAAATAAGAAATAGCTCATATAACTACAAGACATTCTTTTTTTATTACAGAATAATTTTTTTCAGCTGAAGCTAAAGAATAACTTAAATATATAATTATTCTTTCTTTTTTGTTTTTATCTTTTTGAGAAAGAACTACTCTAAAGGCTAGATCTAAAGTATCTGTGAAGAGAATTAACAGTTAAGTAAAATTTGAATAAACTAAAATTAGAGTGGTCATGAGTTTTTTTTTAAATTTCCAAAAGTACTTTGACAATTCAGAGTCTATTAATATCTAATATTTTTCTTTAATAGGGTATTAAGAGAAGTAATAATATTAGTAAATCTAAATACAAATCATATATAATAAATATTAAGTCTAAAAATCTCTGGAGTTATCATATATTCGTTAAGATAGAAAATTTCTAGATAGTACTAATTTTATTAAGATCAGTAGAGATTCTATTACTACTGACTACATATCTAAGAAACTTTAGTTCCTTTTTTGCAAAAAAGTATTTTTGAAGTTTAAGCTTTAAGTGGTAAATCGTAGCTAATGGGTATAAAATGATCGACATTTAATAGTAATGTACAGCGGGCATCTACTATTAAAATTTATTATTAGTTGGAATCCTAGAAGATTCTCAGCACAAAATATCGCAGAATAGAAAATACATAATACAACTTATAAACAAAGGACAAATAGACTCAAATCTTCATTATGGCCTATTTGCCCGAGACTGATGGAATAAAAATATAAAAATTGCAAATAATAGCACTTTAAATCTTCCTTTTCGTCTTCATATGAGTGTGATAACTAAAATAAATAATTATAATTTTGTTTTATCTGTTGTTAACAAACCTTCAAATCTATTACAACCCAGTTTTTTATGTTCAGTGGGTGAAAAATTTTGTGATATACAAGATACACCTTCAGCAGCCATCAACTTGGTATATCAAGAAGTTACTGGAAGTCAAACTAAAACCAAGCATTCAGGACTAGCAGTTTTGGGGTTTTATAATGAAGAAATTGTTTCAGAAATGATTAATGACATACTATTTTTTCCACTATACGTAGAGGTTGACAAATTTTCTATATTAATCTCAAAAATCGAATATTCTTCTCAAGAAGATCTTTTGTATGCCGGACCTGGTTACAAATCTTCTTTAATAACACGTCGTGGATCAGAGCCATACCTTATCTCACAGCAAATTTTAGAAGATCATCAATACAGTTTGCGAGTTTTTAAGGGGAAAACCAAATTGCATCAGTACGTTAGTAAAATGCCAGATATCATATAGAAAAAATATGAATTACACTAAAATAAGGATCATTATGCACTTTTTGGGTTAAAGGATCCGCAAGTTCAAGCATTATTGGCAAATAATAAAGGAAATGTGGTACTTACAACATATACATCACTTCACTAGAACGATGAATTAATTTTGCAGCAAATTTTTGACTTGCATATTAAACGCAAAAAAATTTCAATGCCTAATCTCGATTAGCAAAACCTTTTTACTAAATGGATTACACAAAAAAGCTCAATAGTTTGGGTACCACATATTTTAAGCAGCATATACCCACCTGATCATACTTTCCAGCACAAAGAACTGTTAGCTTGGTGTGCTATGTTTCGAATGTGTGGATGTACAAACATTACACCATACTACAAGAAAGAATCTAACGTTGAGTTTTGGACATGTGCTGTAGATCCTGAGGCAGATTGGCAAACTCTCAAAAATTTATATAATTGGAGATTATTGCAAACGCAGGATTTTTCATATACTAATACTGATTGTCAATTTTGGGATAGTTTTTGTCAAGCATTAGATACTAACAAGAGAGGGGTGAAAGGAAAAATTAGAGTACTTTCAATTATTGTACTTGATTTTAGTTACCAGGATCTTCAAAACGAATTAGGAGTAAGGCATTAAAATGTCTGCTTTGTGCTGTAAAATTTATTACTAATATAATATATACTATTTATTAATAAATATAGGTAACATTAAAGACTATATGTAAAGCTTGAAAGCATACACGTCTCTATGGTCCCAGTTCTCCACCAATCGAAATGCCAAAAAAAAAAATTCAAATAATGGCCGAATTCAAAGAAAAGCAGTTCGAATTATTTTTTTTAGACAAAAATAACGTAACAATGAGTTCCTATAAGATAGATCCAAAAACCAATTTACCCATTCTTTATTTCTGTAATAACAAAACTGAGCTTTGGAAAAAGTTTCAACAAATGTTTCCAAATGTGATGAAAAAAACTTCTTTCATGGGTCGAATTGCTGATTGCACTCAACTAACGTATCGAGATGATTTGGGTGGTCTGTGTAGCATCTGTAACGAATACAGGTTTGGCTCATTTAAAAGTTTGATAGGAATTGCGCAAAATACATTCTTTGACAAAATAGAATTGGTATCAAAAACTTTTCAAATTTTTTGATGTATTTATATTTTTTTATAGTAATTTTTTTACTATTATTATTTTTTTTTTTTTTTTTTTTTTTTTATTGCGATTTTTTTTTTAAAAAATTTTCATTGCAATTTTTTTAATTGCAATATTATCCTTATTTTTTTTATATTATAATAAATATTATTAGAATAAAATACTCTCACAAATTGAACACTTGTGATGCCATCTTAAATGAGATTTTGAACGGGAATTAGTAATATTATCTGATGGAACAATATTACACGATCCCTGTATTGATCATTGCCTACCATATGCTTTTGGGAAATGTTCGGCCTCACATATTTCAAGATGTTCCAAGTGTGAGTAGTTTTATAAGTTTTTTGATCAGCTAAAAAACCGCATAGCTGACGAATACAAAACGCAATTGCACGAAATTAAAGAAAGACTAAAACATTATCTAGGTCACCAAGCAAGGAAAATATATTTCAATGCTCAATTTAAGTCAACGCTAGCTCAATTGGATTCTGATGGTGCTTTGATTATTGCTGACTATAAGATAAGGATTCTTCCGAAGTCTGCTCGCGAAACTAAAAAAGAGTTTTTTGGCAAAAGAGGATGGACTTTGCATACCATCCTAATTTTTAGGAAAATAGAAAATTGTGATAAATTAGATATTCAAGCATTTGATCACTGGTCCACTGACATGAAACAGGACACTTGGTTCACCGCCTCTTCGTTTGAAGCAGTGTTTGAATCAATGGAGCAAAAACCCAAATGGATAATGATCATTTCTGATAATGGCGCACATTATCACAATTCAGAACTAATGGCTGTCATTGCTCATTGGCATACTTGGTATTCAATTAAAGTCAATCGATGGTTATTCTTGGAGCCAGGGGAGGCTAAAACCACAATCGACTCTCATCATGCAAATATGAAATTTATTTTTTTTTTTAATGTTTACATTTTCAAAGTTGATCAAATACCAACACCTTAATGTTCTTAATATTGCGTCAGATTGGCCATAGTATTAAATAATACATCCGAATTAGGTTTGACATAGCTGAGGGCGAGGATATAGTAAAAGCAGCAGAGTGACTTTTCGGAACGTCGCTAACACAAATCACTATAAATCGTGATAACAGAAATAGTGAATCAGAGATTGAAGATGCTGAGACTAATAAAAAAAAAAGGGTAGAAATTCAAATAAAAAAAACCCGAAAATTAAAACGATAACAGGAATATCAAAATTTTACTGTTGCGAGTGGCCAACTGAAGGACCTTTAGCTGGATTTATTCGCGCAAGAGGACTTCCACATGCGGGCCCGTGGAAAAACTTTTCTCCAGCAGAAATCACAAAATTAACTGGTACATCTATTGTTCACCCAAACCCGATAGTTTTGGCACATACAAAACCAACATCTGATTGGACCATTCTAATCCCGACGATTCAAGGTATGTATCATGTGAATAACTGTTAAAAAAAAAAATGTTATAATTTGACAAATTTCAGTTCCTACAAATAACAAAATGACCGAGATAGAAGGTAAGTTGTAATTTTATAACCCATTATAAGAAATTATTATGACATTTCTTATAAAATAGGCATTACCAATTTTAATAACGGAGATGATGATCGAGGTTCTGAAATGGACGTTGAAGGTGAGACTTAGTATTCTAGTGTTTCTTATAGTTCTTAAATGACTTTCTTGTAAGAACAGACATTCCCAATCTTAACGAGGATAATTATCAAGGAGGTTTCGAAACAGACGTCAAAGGTAAGAATTAGTTATCCTATTATTTTGAGCTGGCCAAAACATGACTTTTCATTGTGAACAAATAAATAATACTTACTTACTTGTATATTATTTGTTTAGAAATTGCAGCTGAAAAGGATGAACAGAAAACATTCATTTATTTTCAGAAACCTACTGAAATGGGCAATTCCAATGAAATTGGAGTTGAAATAAATGAGCAAAGGGCATTCATTCATTTTCTGGAATCTTCTGAGATGGGAAATATTAATGAAATGGATGTTGGAATGGAAATTGAAACGAATGAACAAGAGGCATTCATTTATTGCCAAAAGTCTGCTGAGATGGATAATTCTAGAGATGGGTTTGTAGAATTGTTAGCATAATTTGCTTCAGAATTATCTTGTATTTAATTAACATGAAATTCTTTAGAAGCGTTGATGAAGGATTCTAAATGGCTAAAGGTTGGGCTTTCCCAGCAAACGCTAAATTTGGTAAAAAGGGCGGAGGCAAAAAGATTAAAAAAAAGGTTGTTAATTTGTTAAAACAATTCTTTCTAAATAGAAATATAAATGCCAAAGACAAGTTAACAGCTCAGGAAATGCACTTGGAGCTTAAGAAGTTTGCACAGTCCAGAGAAATTGACGATGAAGACATTCCTCAAGTATCTACGATTCACAACTGAATTGGAAGGTATTCAAGAGAATTTAATCAACAGGGAACTATCGTCGCACTTGAAACTTTCAGGGACTCTTCGAATGGTGAATATTAGTATTTCGTCTTATTCTAAATATCAGATGCCACATCTCAATTTACTTTGTATTTAAACCAGATCGATCGAATATCAATCAGCACTGCGAACCAAGCATATAAAAATAGGATGATATTGGTGTTGAAAAGGATAAGATAAATCTAGCAGGATAGGGGTTCTAATGTATGTTTTAAGTTGACTGCTAACAAATCGAAATTTTGTTGAAGAATAAAAAACACAATTGCATTTATTTGTTATTAATAATCTGAAATAGATGAAACATAAATCTATTATGAAATCAGATTATGATTATGAATTCTTAAAATCGTATAAATGAATAGGAGTATTTTAAGATCTCAACTACGAGTCAGTATAGTATAGATATATGGTACAGGTCAGATTTTAAAACCATGCCACACTAATCCTATAATTATAGTATAATACTAATATTGACACCCATATCATGAGTGCTACCAAGGAAAAACCTGTCATCGGGCTTCTAATTATTTTGTACCAGACATAATCTCTAACAAATTAAACTGATTTTGTCTGGTACAAAATATAATTGAAAGCCTGATGACAGGTTTTCCCTTGGCAGCACTCATATTGATTTGTACAGAACTTCTTAATAAAGTGACTTCTCTAAATAAACATGATTGACAACTTGATCTATTATCAAAGGGTGCATTTATAGAGATCGATTAGTTTACTATAATATAAAGCGTTATTATATAATAAATATCAAGTTAATTTAGCATTCAGAATTAACAACATAAATTCACGATAACTTCAAGATTATATATCCATTTTCGTAAAGTACCCAGGGCATAATTTTTTATTTTTTATTTTTTTTGATAAGACCAATATACTGTAAATTCTTGAAATAGCAGGCATCTGCGTGTTATTTTGACTATGTGCGCGTTATTTCAAATATGCCCATAGGCGTTATTTCGAGATAAAAAAGGTATTAATTCAGGAACTCTCCTAAGTTTGGCTATAGTACTAAATAATATTTAGTATTCTTGTGAGTCTAGTTGAATAAACCAAAGAAGAAAAAGTGCATTTTTTTAAGTGTATTAACATCGCAATTATTAGAAGATTCAAAATATTTTGACCCAAATCTGCATGTCTTACTGAGTAAAGTTTTTAGTTTATGCGGTAAGTAAGAAATTTACTTAAGCCACTATTATTATTGATCATGTTTTGTTAAAATTTGAAGATTAAACCTGTTTTTTTTAAATATAGTGTTAAGTTTAATATAAGGTTAAAATAATAGTTTGTGCATTTGATATAATTGATCGCCACCGTACAAGCATATAAAATTTATACTCTTTAGAGGCGATCTACCTCTTAATTTTACTTCCTTAAGTTATCTAAACATTTCTATTAAGTATTATAATTTTTCAAGAAGATATTAAAGTTATTAAAGTAGATAACTATGAACTTCCTAATGATATCTTTGAAGATTTAATCTATTAAACTTTGAAATATAACTAGAGTGTTTACTAACCCAAAGAGTATAACATCAAACTTGTAAGCTTTATAAGAAAAGATAAATATTATTTTCTTCTTATTATCTTCATATATTTTGATTTATCAGTATCTACTAGCTAAGTCTAATAAAGTAAACTAAGAGAATCTATTAAAGGAATCTAGAAGTTCATTTACTCATAATAATAAATAATTATCCCTTATTGTAATAGCATTTAGTTTTCAGTAATCTATACAAAAATATATCTTTTAGACCTTTTATTTAACTAAAACTACTGAGAATATCTAAGAGTTTATAGATAGTTGAATTATTTCTTCTTTAAACATAGAGTCTATTTATAAAACTAAAATCTATTTAATATTGATAATTTTGAAATTATTTAAAAAATATAAAATAAAAATGTAGTTGACTATTAAACTTTTTTTTATTAACGTTTAATTACTATATTTAGTATAAGTAATCAAAATAACTTAAAAATTAATTCATATGCTTTTAAAGAATTATTTTTCTGCAGAGGAATATCTGTAAGATCATTGTTTATTTGTTTTATATCCTTAGTCATTATTTTATATATAAATTTATTCATGTAACTTAACTTGTTAAGGTTTTGAATACAGAGGCTAGTATTTCTATCAAGTAATTAAGATAATTGCTTTCTTTATTCTTTCTTCAAATCTCTTATCTAGTATTCAATTCTGATTTGAATCTCATTTTTATAATAATAGTTAAAGAAGTCTGATATTAATTTATATTCTTGCTCTTTTCAAAAGATTAAATATATAATCAGCTAATAACTAAAATTTTCACTTTTGTTTGAGTCATCCTTTTTAACTTTGTTCATTTTCTAATTAATCTTATTCAGATTATATTTTTTATTATCTATTTCTTTTATCTCAGACTATATATAAATCTAGTCTTCCAACTCCTCTTCTTCATACTTATCTTCTAATTCATCTTTAGTATCTTTCTCAATCTTATTTTCTATATCTTTAATCACTACAGAGTATTCTTTATCTAATAATAATTTTGCTATCTTGTAAAATTTAACAGAGACTATAATTTCTTTATTATCTTATAAAATCAATATTTTGAATGAATTCTAGTCAATAGTTGCATTCAATTTTGTTAACTAGTTATTATTAATGATTGCATAGTAGGAATTCATATCTATTACTATAATATCAATAGATATTTTTATACTACTAATAGTGAAAAGAAAATTAAAGATTTTACTATAGCCTATTTACTTTCTCTATAAATATTAATCATATTCATAATCAAAAGTCTTTTGATTCTTAGTTTAGAAGATAGAAAGCAACTATACTTCTTGAAGATCTACTATCTACTATTAGAGGTATACTTCGATTATAAATTTTAATATTACAATAAAGAGTAGTTGCTTTTAAAGTAAGTTGGATATTAGTATTTCTTTGAACTTTTCTTCAGATATTT